TTTCACGTGCTTACTTGTTTCTCCTGCTTATGCAGAAACAAGTTCAAATGGAATTAAATGATAATCAGGGTTGAACTTGACATGCTTTTACTTACTGTAAAGCATTTTTAAACACATCTCCTATGTGACAATCCGAACCATTCAAAATTGTCCGGACAACCTTTTCCGATCTTAATAAAGAGTTGAGAGAATCCAGCAAAATCCTTACATGGGGGAAACATATCAGCTTCTAACACAACTTGATGGCTGGAAAACAGATCAGAGCCTGTGCTATATAGCTGGTGAATTTTGTTTAAAACATAGATAATTAGAAATTCTAAAAGCATTTTCTTTTTAAAACTTTGAGGTTTTTTTTTTTTTAAATGACTTACTTGCAAGTAGAGCAGAATGGATTTCATGTGCCAGATAAGCCATTTTCAATTAATGATATAAACAGATTACACTGGGGGTATGTGAGATAAACCTGTATCTTTTCCATTTGACAAAAACAATATTAAGAAAACCCGTGTTTTAAGAATTCTGATTTTTTTTTTTTTTGCTTATTTTAAAAAACTTATAGCTTCATAAATTCATCAAGCTTCACCTTCAGACTGACTGACTGCTTTTCCTAGGAGTGGGGGTGTTGTGCCTGCACTGGTGGCACCTGGTGTAGCTCCTAAAGCTGTTAAAAGGATGCAAAGTTACAGCATCTCTTTAATATGTAAAAATGGTCTCAGGTACCTATTTTTCTCATATCTTTATATATAACTTTGGGAAGACTGTTGCTTTCAGTTGCCTCAGGTTCAGACTGGTGCTAATTTGTGCTGTTTGGATTTGTTTTGTTTCTAGATATTCAATAGAACTCTGCGTTCACAACACTTTTGTGCTAAGGTATTATTTTCAAAAGCAATTAACAGTTTCAGGGATTCCTTGATCTCTTTCCACTTCTTTTTTCCCTGTGTGCTTTTGCTAACGCTAGACTTTGGAAACTTGATATAGAATATTATAGCAAAGATTGTAAATGTTTCTGATAAGCAGGTTTTAAAATCTCACAGTTGTCATCAGTCCAGCACTTCGGAAAGGCATATGGAATCCTTTCCTTAAATTACACTTTCTTTCCTTAAATTTGTGAGAGACCAGAGAGAAGAGTTGTTATATCGGAATTCTTAGTCTCATTCCCCCTTTCCCCTGCACTCCAGAAAAGGTTTTGTTCACTGACGATCATGCTCTTTAATTTTAAAGAAAACTATGTAAATCAGGTCTTTTGGTTCCCGGACAGGCGTTACTGCAAGATGGTGTGCTGCAGAAAGCACGTTGTGTATATAAATACATGAAAGTTGTAGGGAATGTCTGTAAATATTACTTTGTACATGGCTGCTGTTTAAAAAAAAAAAAAAGTTTTGGGAAAAAGCATGCCATTTTTTCACCCAGAGAGGACTTTTTATTTATTTAAAGTAAGTAGTATGTTTAAATGTAGTCATTTCAGGCACAGTTCGTAAGCCTGTACCAAAACATCAACAGTAGGAAACTCACCAGGTAGTTGAGCTTTGTAATTTAGTTTTAAATGTGCAATAGGGTTGCTTCGGGTTGAGTAAATATTGGGTTTTTTCATACTAGAGTGATCTTATCTGTCCTAGATGTCACTGTGATACCAGGACGTTATTGAATACGACACTGTAGATACAAGCTGTCTCTCAGTAGGTGTGAGCAGGCATTGGCTGTTCCTGGGGGTTTATTATCATCAGGATTTATTATTATCAGCTTCTGAGCAAAGACACTTTGGTGATTTGTTCCCTACGGCGGCGATGAGAGGGCTCCTGCCGCAGCCTTCCTCAGCAACCAGGCTCCTGTGCTGGAGAGGAGGAGGAGGGGAAAGGAGTTTACTCCTGTAAAAACAAAATAAGCAACAGCTACAGCTGGGGAAGTGTGTTCCCATAACCCCAAACGTGTTATTTATTCATGGCAAGCGTCGAGATGGCACAAACCAAATCTATCTGTAGGGTCTGAGGATGTGTCTGTCTTCATGGAGCTGTGCTGCTGAGAGGATCAGCCGTTCCTTCAGTCCTGTGTTGTCTGAAATACCACCTTTCCGGGGTGGTTAATGTGTGGTGGCAGTCAGTAGGATATGAGGAATTGGGGCTAATTCCAGAGGTGAAAATAATGAGGAAGAGGGGCGATGTGTGGTGTGGCAGAGCGGTGCGAGGTTTCTCAGAGTGCTGTTTAGCAGCTCCCACTCTGCAGAGAGGGCATGGCCATGCTGGCATCTCTATCTCAGAGATATTTGGTGTTCTACAGGCAAGATGTGCCTAAATGTCACTTTTTTTCCCCCCTTAGACTGTGATTCCCTGTCACGTGGAAATGGCACAGACTCCACCCTGCAGTTCCTGTTCCAGTGGCAGGAATATCTACTATCTATTTCAAATTCAGCCATCGTCTCGTGGCCTTTCTGTTTATAGGTCAAGTCTTTTGTGGCCAAAGCTTCCATTAGGAAGCTCGGAGTATTTCGTGAGAAATATGAGTGGAATCATTGTTTTTCACTGTTTTCTTTATTGCTTAGTAACTTTTAGTCATTGTTTTGAGTGCCTGGGTTTAAAAATCCTTTAAAATCTGTTTGTGTGCTGATTAATTCTTATATGACACTTGAAACCAGGACAAAGCCTCTTGATGTACAGAGTTTCTGGCGCTGAGGTCAGTGAGCAAAGAGGTGAAGGGAGTTTGTTCACTTCAGGGATGCAGCGAGTGATGCTTTAACGATCTTACACTCTGATCTCTAGGACCTTAGAGCTGCCTCTGTTCAGCACTAACCTGTGCTAAACATCCATCAGATTTAAACCCCAATTATTTTCTAGCGGAAATTAAACCCCAGTCGTTTTCAAGTACGTGGTGCTGACAGTTGTTTTCTTGGTATAGTTTATCTTCAAATGCACAAAGCAACCAACGTGAGTCTTAAACTTATGGAAGGGCCGTGGTTTCTGGAGGTGGGACAGATGATACATAAATCTGATGATACCTAATCACATTCCCCATTGAGTAAATTCTGCCTCTCTATAAGCTGAGGCTTCTGTCACTTTTATAAGTGATTCTTATGCTCCTTTGCAAAAATTAACTTTTTTTTTTTAAAGCCACAGCCTTTTGTTCTGGCCATCACAATAGGCCTCCTAAATGTAAAGAGAACTCGTGCAACTGTTAGTTACATCTGAAGGCTGATAGGAATGTCCATATATATTATATATATATATATGCACTGGCATTTCTGACAAAAGGCCCAATTGTGTCTGTCCTGGGAAAGATGATCTTGGGCAATCCTTAAAAGACAGAATGAAGCGTTATGTTTTGCTTCTGTGAAGTTCTTTGAGATGAGCAATATCGTTACAGATTTGATCAAGTACTGATGTAAACAGTAGATTACATTTACGAGACAAGAAGTCACCATCGTGGTAGATTATATAAAGATTTAAAAAAGTTAATCGTGGAAGACATGCTAGAGTACAGTGACAATAGTACCATGTGGTTCTTCTAAGTAAAGCCATTTATCTTAACATATTTGGATGAAAAAAAAAAAATCAATGTTTTCTGCATCTCCACATCAATACTTTGTAATGATTTTTGCCTCACTGCTACGGCAGCTTCATTATTTCAGTGGAAGTACCTTATATACATCAGCAACATAGCATCTCTGATAATCAGGTTACATCTAGAGTCTTCCTAACTTGATAAAATTTCCTTCCATACTGTCGTTCATACATGTGTAATACAAAATAAAGCTCCTTCAGTGCTCAGCTTTTAATAATCCTGTTCATAATTAAATATAAATCCGACTAAAACATACTCTTCTACATTAAAGTCTTGTCATAAAAACATTTTGAATATAAACCTTCAATACTCAGCAGAGATACAATATATATATATATATACAAGGATATGAGGAATTGGGGCTAATTCCAGAGGTGAAAATAATGAGGAAGAGGGGCGATGTGTGGTGTGGCAGAGCGGTGCGAGGTTTCTCAGAGTGCTGTTTCGCAGCTCCCACTCTGGCATCTCTATCTCAGAGATATTTGGTGTTCTCCAGGCAAGATGTGCCTAAATGTCATTTTTTTTCCCCCCCTTAGACTGTGATTCCCTGTCACGTGGAAATGGCACAGACTCCACCCTGCAGTTCCTGTTCCAGTGGCAGGAATATCTACTATCTCAAATTCAGCCATCGTCTCGTGGCCTTTCTGTTTATAGGTCAAGTCTTTTGTGGCCAAAGCTTCCATTAGGAAGCTCGGAGTATTTCGTGAGAAATATGAGTGGAATCATTGTTTTTCACTGTTTTCTTTATTGCTTAGTAACTTTTAGTCATTGTTTTGAGTGCCTGGGTTTAAAAATCCTTTAAAATCTGTTTGTGTGCTGATTAATTCTTATATGACACTTGAAACCAGGACAAAGCCTCTTGATGTACAGAGTTTCTGGCGCTGAGGTCAGTGAGCAAAGAGGTGAAGGGAGTTTGTTCACTTCAGGGATGCAGCGAGTGATGCTTTAACGATCTTACACTCTGATCTCTAGGACCTTAGAGCTGCCTCTGTTCAGCACTAACCTGTGCTAAACATCCATCAGATTTAAACCCCAATTATTTTCTAGCGGAAATTAAACCCCAGTCGTTTTCAAGTACGTGGTGCTGACAGTTGTTTTCTTGGTATAGTTTATCTTCAAATGCACAAAGCAACCAACGTGAGTCTTAAACTTATGGAAGGGCCGTGGTTTCTGGAGGTGGGACAGATGATACATAAATCTGATGATACCTAATCACATTCCCCATTGAGTAAATTCTGCCTCTCTATAAGCTGAGGCTTCTGTCACTTTTATAAGTGATTCTTATGCTCCTTTGCAAAAATTAACTTTTTTTTTTTAAAGCCACAGCCTTTTGTTCTGGCCATCACAATAGGCCTCCTAAATGTAAAGAGAACTCGTGCAACTGTTAGTTACATCTGAAGGCTGATAGGAATGTCCATATATATTATATATATATATATGCACTGGCATTTCTGACAAAAGGCCCAATTGTGTCTGTCCTGGGAAAGATGATCTTGGGCAATCCTTAAAAGACAGAATGAAGCGTTATGTTTTGCTTCTGTGAAGTTCTTTGAGATGAGCAATATCGTTACAGATTTGATCAAGTACTGATGTAAACAGTAGATTACATTTACGAGACAAGAAGTCACCATCGTGGTAGATTATATAAAGATTTAAAAAAGTTAATCGTGGAAGACATGCTAGAGTACAGTGACAATAGTACCATGTGGTTCTTCTAAGTAAAGCCATTTATCTTAACATATTTGGATGAAAAAAAAAAAATCAATGTTTTCTGCATCTCCACATCAATACTTTGTAATGATTTTTGCCTCACTGCTACGGCAGCTTCATTATTTCAGTGGAAGTACCTTATATACATCAGCAACATAGCATCTCTGATAATCAGGTTACATCTAGAGTCTTCCGAACTTGATAAAATTTCCTTCCATACTGTCGTTCATACATGTGTAATACAAAATAAAGCTCCTTCAGTGCTCAGCTTTTAATAATCCTGTTCATAATTAAATATAAATCCGACTAAAACATACTCTTCTACATTAAAGTCTTGTCATAAAAACATTTTGAATATAAACCTTCAATACTCAGCAGAGAGATACAATATATATATATATATACATACACACGCACACACACAAATGCACTTTTTTCTGTTAGTAGCAAGCATTTTGTTCACGATTTGCTCAGTTTCACAGTCTTGGGTTTTACCCAACTGCTCCTAAATCAGACTTCTGATTGCTCGTTACTGTCAGGGATGACAGACGTTAAGGCAGCCTGACAGAAGCGATGTAAGGTCGACATTTTTGTCTTCTGTTCGATGTACAGTCGCAGCTTGTCTCTGAAGGTTTCCCCTAGAAAACTGTAAATTAAGGGGTTCAAGCAGCTGTTAGAAAAAGCTGCGAGGTTCACAATGTGTCCCGTTAAAGGGTAATCGTGCCTGAAGGATGGGCTGCTGGAGGAGACGGGCTCGCTCTTCTTTTGGAGGAGCTGGACGCTAATGAAGACGTTCTCAGGTAACCAGCAGATAAAGAAAACCAAGACCACGACAAAAATCATCCGGAGAGCCTTCTGCCGCCGCAGCCGAAGGCTCCTGTGCTTGTGCGCTCTGATAAGAACTCGGACAATTAATGAGTAACAAAGCCCGATGATGACAAAGGGGATAATAAAGCCCAAGGTTATTTCTAGCCACTGGATTTCTTTTACATCTGCAAAGCAAAAATAGACCTCTCCGGTGTGCTGTAAGTGCACGGCCGTGAATGGAACTAGCGCTGCAGAGATAGATGCCATCCATATGAGCCCACAGCTCAATCTAGCGTGTTGCATAGTGCGAAATAGGTTGGACCTCATTACTTTGGCCAGCGCTATGTATCTGTCAAAACTCATCCATGTCAGAAAGAAAATGCTGCTATACATGTTGATCTGAAGGAACAGAGACATGAAGGTACAAATGATAGTGATATCGTAATACTTCTCGTCAAGATTAAAGACCTCAATGAGAGAATCGGCAACTAAAATGAGATCGGCCACTGCCAGGTTTATGAAGTAAAGGTCTGGGATAGTCATTTTTTCACGAAAGCTTATGTTGACAACCAGTATCAGAATGTTTCCTACAAAACCAATGGGAAAAAGAAATATTGTGTAAAGGCACGATAAGAAAAGACCGATAACGTACTGTTGGTGTTCTGATTTATCAGCTAACCGGGAAGATATGCTTTCGTTACACAAATGTGAGCCGCTCAGGTTAAACGTTGTGCTGTTACAGACAACAGGTGCTATTGAGGCAGAGTACGTTTCCATGGCTAAAATACCTGCAGAAAAGCTATTAGTACTCACAGTTTGGTGGTAATGCCAAAAAATCAGGTTTTTGGTTGTTTTCAACTAAGTTCATAGTAAGCATTTTGTTTGGAATGGAAAAAAAATGTACGCTTTTGTATAGGGAATTAAAATTCCTTATAAGTCAAATTAATTAAAATGGACTGAACTCTACCAGTACAAATAGTAAATAATGTTTTTTTGCAGGACACTATCTACATTGCAGATGAGAGAATCTGCAGTTCCTGTATGCCTTAAGATCATGTAGGAATCTTTTTACCATTCTGGTACTTGGACCTCTTTAGTAAAAGCTTTTCATCGGCAGCGTTTCTCCGGGCAGGTTGGAAGGCGGCAGAATTTTAGCTCCATTTGTTTTCTTTTAATAATCAATGCACATCCTCGGACCTGCAATTTGCAAATGGAAAACCATTAATCTCCTATTCCAGCATCGTACCGGGTACCAGATGCTTCTGCTGCCGGAGTGTCCACAGCTGAGGCTGCAGGAAACACCACGTTTGAACATATATAGAAAAAGGTTCAGTTAAAAGAATTTAAATCTGGTCTAGATGAGAATATATTGTGAGGGCAGGTCTGTTAAAATTTTGTGTACCCTTCAGGGATTCAGTATGGGAACATGTAGAAATATAGAAAATCAGATGAGTGGGTTCAGCCTACAGAAAAATACATCTTTTTTCTATATGTATATATATATAGAAAGGTCTGTATTTATTTCCTCATCAGCTTGTTGCGTTATTAAGTAGCAGAGTCTGTGGCTGAGAAGGCAAAAGAGATGGGAAAGCAGTTGGTTCTTTCTGCTTCCAGGGGGAAGGAAAAGGCGAATTTTAGAAATGAAGGTAATACAAGTGGCGTATTGATTTACACCAACGTTATTATACTCAATTTGCTTTTCTTTGGGATTAATTATGTTGCCCTGACTTCCGGCTAGGAATGGAAAATATCAGTTATCTGATTTGTTTACTTACAAATGCTGAACGCTATGGCTTGAAGCGTTGCTAGAAGTTTATTTAAAAGAAAAACCCAATCAAACAAAAGACAGCCCGGACAAAAAAAAAACAGCAAGAAAATGATAACCCAGAGTATTTGGTGTTAAATTTTAAATATTTTGAATAGCTTTAATCTTCATTTTACTACCAGTCTCTTTGATTTTAATTGCTCTAAAACATATAAAGAGAATTAAATTGTTTACTAGTAAAATTCATGCATATTTCCATGTTTTGATGATTTAAACCCTGCTGATGTACAGTCTGGGGGAGAAAAAGGAGCAGACTGCTAATGGAGTAGGAGTTTTAGAGTATCCTCAGTCTGAAATACAGCTCTGAGTTTGCTTAAATGTATCCGAGTTACTAGAAGTAGCAAGCAGATACTTAAATAAAGATACCTGTTCCAAAGCTTTTATTTCTTAAGGAAATAGGCATAAATACACAGTAGCTATTGTCTTGAAGCATTTTCAGAATGTCAATCCTTATGCTAAAATACCCATATGAAATTGCACTTCTCTGAAGAAGTTTTTGGGGTTTGTTTCAAGCAGCTGCGGGAGTCGGGCACGAACTGTTGCTTTTTCTGCAGCATCCTTTTATTTTTGCATAAAGCAGTAAAACTGCTTTAAATATAATAAAAGAGTAGTTACCGGTGCAAAGCAAATGATTGGAAAAGGTCAGTCTGTGGTCAGATTTTAATTACATCTGAAAGGCCACCAAAAGCCAGGCAAGGACAAGCATTCCAGGTAACCCTGTACTGGGAAACTCTTTATTTTACCTGAATTCCGTGTCTCCGGAGCTGATTTTCCTCCAGACGACAAAAGCTGGTTCTCGCTGGGGTTCGTGCTTAATGGGTCTGTCAACTTCCACCCCCGGCTCAGTAAAAACTTGTATTTAGGTGTGCAGACCCCACCGAATGCCACCTGTTGACGATTCCGCAATAAAAAAATCACATAAAAATCTATTCTCTTTCAAAACGTCTTAAATAAAAGAGGGTTTACAGCGGCAAAATGCAGATCTTGCTGCATGTCCTTGGCAATAAAACAAGCTTTATAGATTCCCAGGGTTGTTCTAATTTGTGTGCAGTTGAAGAGCTGCTGAACAGCCTTATAAGGCTGGAATTAACCCCGTTTCTGCTGGTTTCTTTTGTACTAGAACCAGTCGAGCATCTTTCCCCTCGGATTTGTCAGTTTTGTTTTGCCTAATGTTCATTTTAACCTCATTTGTGCCTCCAGCGTTTTCTCGAATCACATAGTCCATTCAAACCTTCGGCTCAGCTGATTGATAATGAAGTGATTTATTTTCAAATCATAACTAAGCATATTTTACATAGATCTAAAGTAATAATTACTCCTGTGCTTGGTATTTTTTTTTCTTTTAAAAGCCTCTGGACAATCTAAAGAGAAATAATTCGATTGAGAGCAATCCAGCAGCTGAGGAGGGTCATCTGCTGAACTGATGAGATAAATTTCAGTTTTCCTACCTTCAAGTCGATCCCGTTTTGTCTGTATTTAAATTTTCAGGTATACATCATTATCCTCGCACTTCTTAGAATTGCTCAGCCCCAAATCACATGGATAAAATACGATTTATTTTGCAGAGGCTGTGGAGGCTCCGTCTCACATAAACCCCCTCAGTGTTGCAGGTGGAGTTTTGCATTTCAGCTGTAGGGAGGGGGAAAACCTACTTGGCATTTCCAGACACACCACCTACTGGTGGCCAGAATTCTTAGAATGGAAAGAAAGCTAAATATTTTTTTTTCTCATAAGAGAACTGTTTTGTTTGCGTAAATTACTTCTTATGATTGTATTGATCCGGTACCTGAGTGTGATTAATGGCCACGGGAACAGGATGAGTTGGGTCTCAGTGTTTAGGATTTCACAAAGCCAATTTTGCTGTTTCAGAAGCGTGGAATAAACAATTAATGTGTCATTCTAATGGCTCTACTAATGGTAAAACGTTTTTAGATGATGAAAGTTCTCACCTGTAGAGAAGTGAGGTAAAAGTTCTTTACAGCAGGGGCTTTGGGGGCAGAAGGCTTTTTGGGGTCGGTCTCTTCTCCCAAGGAACAAGTGGTGGGACAAGAGGAAATGGCCTCAAGTTGCTCCAGGGGAGGTTCAGATTGGGTATCAGGAACAATTTTTACTCAGAAAGGGTTATTAAGCCTTGGAATGGGCTGCCCAGGGCAGTGGTTGAGGCACCATCCCTGGAGGGATTTAAAAGCCGGGTTGACACAGTGCTTAGTAACGTGGGTTAATGATGGTTTTATCAGAGTTGGGTTGATGGTTGGACTAGATGGTCTTAAAGGTCCCTTCCAACCTGGACAATTCTATGATTCTGTGGTTCTAAGGTGCTTTGCCTCTAGTGCCATTGAGGCAAATCTGGTATTTGCTGATGTCTCATAACGCGCCGTGCATAAAAACAGGGGATTTCGGCGGTGTTTAAGATGTTCTTACGTAACACGCCGTGCATAAAAACGGGATTTCGGCGGTGTTTAAGATGTTCTTACACGATGGCTCTTCATAAATAGCTTTGTAATAAATTATCATTTATCTAAAAATAAAGTTTGTGCAAATCAGTGCTGGTAACAGTTGGCAGAGCAGAACTTCTGCTGGGTGGGGAATGGCTTTGGGGGTGTCCCCGGAGCTGCGAGGACAGGGAGCCTGAAGTGCCTGCCTTTGAGCCGTGGACCAATGTGATGCCTTGAGAGGCCTGGAATAATTGTAACGTTAGAAAAATCTTGTGATACTGGCTTTGAAGGTCTTAATTTTTTGCTGTCCTAAAGACGGGGATTATGAAGAGTCTTTATTGTTGTTTGTTGATCATGTGGTTTTGCTGTTCTTAGCTCTGTCCTTCAGAGCTTCCCCCCGTCTCCGAAGGGCCAGGAGGGATTTTCGCTTTCCTTTATGCATAACGGCTTCTGGGTGTTAGTTGTTTGTAATTACGGGGGCCTGGACTTGGTAATCAGCTGGTCTGTCTGCCCTTGTTTTTCTAGCTGTGCGTGTCAGCTGATTTGCTGTTAAAACGTATAATTCTGTCGTGAGAGTTAACCTTCTGGTTTGAATTGGTGGTGAGAAATCCGTCGCTTTGCCATAGTTCAAGAGTGATTCAGAAATTCTCCTTTGAAAGCCCCACGAAGTGGCTGTTTTTCCTGCAAGTAGAACTAGGAAGCAGATAAGACCAAATCTAGTATGATTGTGTTGCAATTAGTGAGTTCTGTATTTCGCTAAATATTTGATGAGATGATCATGTGAATTCTCCGAATGCTGTTTCCTGAAAGAGATGACAACGTCTTCAGGCTCTTGTTGATGCAGTCAAATTATTGTAACTGATTAATCTGTCTTAACCTCGCTGTTTGTCACTTCCCTATTCCATAAAATGCTTAAAACTAATTTTAGCAGCTGCTGAACGCTGTACCCTTCCTCTTTGTCCCTGTCAGTTGCTGGTACCCCATGGGACCCCGTAGGGAATGCCCTAACGGTCCGCACTTAGTCACCGGCGTGACAGCACTGGGTGTGACTTCTCCTGCCTTAGTCCTCGTGGTCACTGAGAACATGCAGGAAAGCAACTGGTGTGAGAGTGTTAGTGTTATGTCAGGGCTCAATAATCCAGCGTTGATGTTCTCCTAGCAGTTTATTTTCAAATCTGTAGTGGTGACCTTCTAAAACACTGTCTGTGTCTCAATAAAGGTGCCTAACGCTGGTGAAATTAGCAATGATGTACCAAGGGGCGTGAAGTGGGGTATAATAGAAGATATTCTATATATTTTAACAGATTTCAACATACGTGCCTGCTGTTGCGCTGCAGAAAGGTGGCAGCTGAGGAGGAAGGAGGTGGGAGGTGTGGGTACAGGAGAGGACAACCCCAGAGGTGCCCTGTGTCCCAGCTCCTGAGCCACCACCGGCCAGCAGCCCCTCCAGTGGGATGAGCCCCAGAGGAGGCAAGAGCTGGTGGGCTCTGTCAGAACTGTGGGACTGCTTTTTGGGATTGAGTCCTGGAGAAATTAGGGCAGCCCCTCCAGCGAGGATGAGCCCCGGAGGAGGCAAGAGCTGGTGGGCTCTGTCAGAAGCATGGGAGTGCTTTTTGGGATTGAGTCCTGGAGAAATTAGACAGGGCCAGGGTGCATAAAACTGAATAAAAAGTAAGTGTATTGCATGGAAGGGGCAAGGAAGCATAAATTAAGAGAGTGTCGGAATGTTTATGGTGTTGTATAACCACGTGCAGAAGAAATAAGATTTGTAGAAGAATCTCTACTGAAATTATCTCCAGAGGAAATAGAGATGCTGCTGTAATCTTCATGAAGTTTTGCACATAGATTGATCTCCTCCAAATTCTGTGTCATTCTGTCTGTGGGGACACTAACTGACCTTCTCCAGCCACCGAGTGACCTGTGTCTGTGCCCAGTCCCCTGCCCTAGAGCACCCTTGGACTGACCCTGCCCAGCCTCAGGAGCTTTCCTTGGCTTGCAAATAATCAAACTTAATTTGGGTTGGGGTCGGTTGTGTTCTGTGCCTGCAGAAAACCTTGGATAAGGGTGTATTTTGTGCGTTTAGGCTTTTCAGTTGTCAATAATCCTGAGAATGAGTTTTTCTTACTCCAGATAATTTTTAAAAGTTCAGCCTTTTCTTTTGCAGGGACACCACCTGTGCCCATTCAGACTATTCCGGTAAAACCCTGTGTTGTTTTTTGTAAATGTGTGTAGTGCAAAACTCTTGGGGGATAATATAAAAATTTTATAAAATTGGGGCACAAAGAGTTGAAAGATGATTCATCACAGGACTCCAGGCTCTACCCAAATGCGATTAAAAAATAAGATTTGCAAAGAACCGATTGTTTTGTTTGTGGTTTTTTGTTTGTTTTTTTTTACTCTAGTGGTTGAATCTGTCAGTCCTTTGCTGGACACGCGAACCATGGAAGTGGAACACATTCTCTCATTACAGCCAATTAGGGAATTGATTTGTTGTGCAACATATATGGTGTAAACATCGTATACAGGACTTACTTTGGCTGAATCACTTGAGCTCTCGCGCTACTCCAAATCTCTTCAACTACCTCAAAATCAAGATATGATCTTGATTTTATCCTTAATGCTGTGGCCCTTTCAGGGTCTGTATGTTTGGAACGAGAATGTAATTAAGGCCAGGATTAGTAATAGATGTAGGGGAGCAGCAGCTCTGATTCTAGTGTGCAAATCCAGTCTCTCTGTAGCTCAGATGTTGTTTTGCAGTGGGCTCGGATCAGATTTGAACCAGCTGGTTCAGCAAAGATGACTCCTCCGTCTCTCCATGTTCTTTTCCAAAACATGTTATCGACTCAGAAATTCACGCTGAAACTTCAGCAGCCTGCTCGTTTCTCTTCTTTTACTGAATTGGGAGGGTTTTCTCAAAAGCTGGCCAAAGTCTTAGAAAGATACGAATATTACCAGTACAGAAGTAAAATATTCTTCTTTGAATTTTCCAGTATATCCCTTCAGTAATTTTTGTCAGCATGCCTATAAAAATATAAGCTCTATTTCTTCTGGAACATGCTGTTCAGAACTAGGTGAAGCCTGGAAGGAGTAAATGTGCTGGTACGGGGAGGGGGGAAATCTCTCCAAGCAGGGAGATTTTTTGTTCTTAAAAATACACTTCAAGTTATTAATCACTTAAAAGTAATTACTTTTAATCTTAGCCAAAGCTGCTCTTCTCTCCCTCATATCAGACTATTTTGGAATGCCTTTCGATACGTATTTCTGGCCCTTCCCCTGTTGCACATAGGGGTGCTTGCCCTCATGTGCTAGCTGGATAAAAGTAGATTTTCTCTAGGACTGCACGTTCGTTGTCCTGAATTTTAATGTAAGCTATGAGTAAGTTTATCAAGAATGATTTAACAAAACATTTCTGTATTGCTGTAAGTTATATTCATAACTATTTGAATTATTATGTTGCATTTTTTCAACCTCTCCTGTTTACCTTTGTTTGCTCCTATTAATTTACAAAGTCTTTTCATTGTACATAGAGATTTTTCTTGATGCCAATATAACCAGCCATCCAGAAAATACTCTGGTTTTTCCCCCAACAGTAGCTGTGGACAGGGAGGAGACCAGAGTACGTTCCTTCACAGCTGACAGCCAGGAGCTGTACCCAGGAGCACTCTGATTTATACACAGTGGTTCATTCTTGACAAGCTGGGCTCGTTCCTAAATCCTAGAGCTGACAGGAGGTCCCTACAGCTTTGATTTCCACGAGACCTTTGGTTATGGCTCTGCTCTAGCTGTGTACCTTGCCAAGAGCATCATGAAGCATCCTTCCACCCTGTGGAACCTTCAGGCTCTTTACAGGTGCTTTATTGTGATTTGCTCACCGTTAGACCAGTTGCCAGGTCTCTGCCAACGTTACCTGCCTACAGCCAACACTTACTGACCAGGTTCTCTTTAAGGCACCTTTAACAGTAACTCAGGACTCAGAAACAACACGATATTTATTCTTTCATCCTCAAATATAAAATATATGGAAGCAGTGAATCAAGTAGAATCCTTTGTGTGTAATTCCCATACCAGAAAATAACCTACTTATCCGTGGCGCAGCTGAAATGATGATGTTCTGTCTGAATCGGGAGGAACAGCTTGTGTCTTTTGACAAACTC